GAACGGTGAAAAAATAATCGAATGTTGCCACACCCTTCTGGTTTGGCAGCAGTGACAATTTCTAAGGTAAAAATAAGCTTGTTAGCAGGTAAAGAGACGAGACAGTTGACTAGCACTTGTTTACTTGAATAGTAGGTGTGAAGAACGTGAACCGGCTGTATGTGGTCTTCAGTTCACACTAAGCACAACGCTTGTTGCTAAACGTACGTTAATGGTTGTATTGTCCAGTCGTTCATTGAATACTTGTAACATGGGAAAGGGAAGATGTTATGATAGACTCATTTGAAGCGTGAATAAACTCCCATGATCTTGCGTACGGCTGTTCTCGGGTTGCCTGCATTAGTTGGCGCTCAGGTAGTTTGGGGTTGTGAGTACGTCTACATAGCGACAGCACACAGGATTAGGGTAAGCCTGTGTGTAGAATTTGGTGCTACATGCTTAAATAATCAGTCTTATACGTACAATCAGATGGAAGCATGCCTAACTGACCGGTTACTCTTCTTTGTGGTTTATCGAGACCGCGCCTATGCCTGTACCTCTGATCCTGAGCATGACACTCGAAGTGAAAGCATATGTGAGCATCAGTCACATGTGTGAGGATAGACCACTCAAAACCGCCTAACACCGAAACTGAGAATAACCTACAAATTTCTTATTCCTATGCTGGCCGTAATTGAGTTAGGACAGCCTGGATTATTACGCTATAGCCACTCCGAAGAGGTTATGTGTAGGATTTGGTTACGGAACCCATAAGTAAAGCTTGTTGAAGTGGCATATGAATCCAAGTCATTTGATCATGTTGAAAGGGAACAGTCTCCTGGCTGTTCTCTATTAAGTGAAACCGAAGTCGGTTTTGATAACTCATGTTCATTACACGTGTTTATTGACCGCCACCTCTTTAATAAAGAAATGAGAAACTCGGGTTCCCAATCTCAAGGTTAGTGGTGCATCAGTAAACGAGAATGCAATCGTCAGATTTGACACTGAGCGGAACTACAACAAGAAATCTGCAAACTATATCTAGGATGAAAATATGTCGGATCAGAGAATTTGTCAATGGCCCCTTGGTCAAGCCCTTGATACAATCTGCAGTGAAAAATCAAACGCTCCAATCTTAAGCTCCTTCATCCTGGTACACTCGGAAATAGATTGGGTTTTGGAATGGAGCATCTGTTGCATCAGGTTCCTCAGCTGGATTAATACATAGTCGCACCCGTTGCCTTGAATGGAGGTCGATCTCGAAACATTTACCAGCTTCCATACCGCAGCTTGCATCAACTTTGGTGCTTAAGAAATCTCGATATAGACTCCGAAGGAATAATGTTTGAAGAGGCATCTTTGTGGCAATGTTGACATCGCTTCTGGCGCTCTTCTCCTACTCAGTTCACAAGTTGAATAGGTTCAGGATTAGTCACCTGCTGAATTACATTTCATGGCACGCTGGGCATGGTCGTATTCGACAATTGGGTGTTTGCGAGAAGACTTACAAGACGACAGCGTACCTAAGTTGAAGAGAATCGACTTCTCTGATAACTGGCCATTTACCAGACTGATAGGTGGAAAATAAAACTGGGTACGTGTAAGTGGACTTAATCCGGTCCAGATTGTCAGTTAAATGAGTTCCATTGTAAGGTAGGAAGCCTTAGTACACTCAGCAATGGAGACTCTGCCATCTATCTCAATTGCAAATGACGTTGGACGGGGTACGACCGACAACTTTGGTGATCTTTTCACTCACTTGAGGGCGCTCTTGTCGATGGAATTGTTCATTGTACCCGATTAGTTTAGTAGTGAAACCTAGAACTTCGAGACTAAATTGTGTCTGACGGCCAGCAATACGTACCTAGTGCTACCAGTACTACGATGCTTCCAAACACGTTAAAAGTCATGGTTCTGCGACTGCAAGCAAAGCATTCAGGGATAGGGTTTGCTACGTCTACCCTTAGATGACCCTACAGGATTACAGCTAACTCAAAAGTGGTGCTGTGGGTAACCTAAGAAATACAACTTTGCATGCATGATTTATTCATCCGCCTATTACCTGACATTTTTGGTGGAGTAAGGTTAAGTCAGTAGCTATCAGAAAGGATTTACGAACCCAGCTTATTTGGTCGGGTGCCAACATCATAATGAGTAGCAGAAAACAAGTAAATGCGAATCCAAAACAACTCCAGGCGAAGGATACCAGTGGGTCGGAAAATGTCAAATTGGAGATAACCTGCTCCCACTGCTCCAAATGTTAACATGCAAGGTGATGCAATCTATCCATACGTGAAGTGCAAGCGCGGAACAGCTCTCCAAACGTCCTTTGGTTTTGTACGCCCTGCTCTCTCATCCCATTTGTCAAGTAGATGCTTACCATAGTCCAGAAGTGCCATGGATTAGCAGCTGAATCCTAACAGCGAATGAACACTAAGATCACTTCACTGCAGGCATGTATCAGGAAAGCATAGTTGCCTCTAAGCAAAGGAATGGTGTAGAATTTGCGTCACTTGAACCACGACCGGCAAGAATCCCATCACCGTTGTCTTCTCCAACGGAGGCAAACCGTCAAGCGAAAACGGACCGGGGCTCTGACAGTTACTCAGGACAATGGGATCAGGCACCATACGAAACATGTAGCCGATCACGTTCCGCCGGTTTCAACAACTTCTATCATTAGCAAGGATAATGCTGCCTAATACCAGCCGTCTGCATCTGAAGCTCCAAAGTCTTCGATCGAGACTAAGTACCCCTGGACACCAGTCACCTAAACAGAGATTGTTGCAAAAGTCACACGGAACTCCAGCCTTACGGCGTGATCCGTTAAAAGCACAACTAACCCGAATAGAGACAAAGAGCAGACAATCGTAAAGTGGCAGGAAGCTAGGAACAACGGTCACCAAACACAGCTCAAGGAAAAAGGGATACAACAATAGCATCCTGACTGTTGTGTGTACGAAGTTCCTCGAATCGATTGCTATCACTTGCGGAGAAATTTGTCTGATGACCAAGAGCAATGGAAGTCCTGCATTTTTATGAACATCGAAGCAAAACGCACAAACCTAGTACGAATTACTCGTCGCCCAAAACGTGCACACTATGGTGAAACCAGACCTAATAAGGTTGGTTAAAAAATAATTTGCTTGCTGAGAGTGCGTTATAACACGGACGACGTTGGAAGCGCATTTATTCGGATGCCCCTTGGAACGCGCGGCATCCGAAAATAAACCCTTAAGATGTACATGATAAACGGGATCGTCTACATTCAAACATGATCAATGGCGAGCCACAGCTTCCTTCTCTTGATATTCAAGGTGCGGGAAATCATGAGTTGAAACAGTTTCCTTGGATAACGTTGTCGCGCGATCTTTAATAAGAGGCAAGTTATCTCACCAACTTACAGAGGGTGTGGCCAAAGGATAATAAAACTCGCAATTCAAACAGAGCAAGCAGCAACGGAAGTGTCAGATTCTTGGCGGAAAAGCCTTCAATCTTCACTTCGGTTAAAGACAGCAAAAGTCCTGTAGAGGTTAGACATGCCATTATTTGGGAAAGCAAATTTACCGGTGATTACACGGGAGCTTTAATTGCCCGCTGAAGTAGGTTTAAACGAGGAATGGGACTTGACGAAATCAAGTTGTGGACGAGGTGTCAGTATCCCATTAAAAAATGAAACACGGCAAACCTCACACCGCTTGGCAGTTTCCCACCTCTGACCATTTAAACCCTCTGAGGGCTCCTAGGTACCGAGAAACTAACCTACTGGTACACAAATGCTCAACGGGTTACCATTAAGCTGGCTGAGTTGAGATCTTTGAGTTTCGAAGTCGTGCGATATCATCGGTGTCACGAAGACGTAGTTACACGCCGGAATGACAGACGCGCTAAAGGGCAAGTCACTCATCCGAAATTACAGGCTCACAAGAGGAGGATGAGTAATTTTGTATCACCGAAGAGAACAAAGTGCGAGACCATGGAACATTTAGGCTTACAGATTCCCAATTCTCTTCGGTTCCGCCTATAGTTAAGCCTGGTAGCCATGGCCAAAATACGACCTCGCTGCATTGGAGCGCACTGAACATTGAGGTTTCAAGTACATCACCTGAATGCGTAAGGTCCCATACGAGCAAAGCCTGGAACGTTTAGAAGTATCAGACGGGCGGTATCGCCGATTACGAGGCGACTTGATAATGGCATACATGATTCTGCACCATCCAAAGCAGGTGTACGGCTCTTTGCTCCAACTCAGCATGGAACAAATTTCAGAAGTCAATCACTGAAACTGGGAAAACACTACAGCCGCCAGGGGTACCATAAAAATTTCTTTTCTATTCGTGTATGTCACTCGTGGAACGCTCTCCTCGAATCGGCCATTTCTGAACCTACACTAACCATACTTAAAGGCCGGTTGAAAGACGCATTCATTCATTTACATTTTGTTACTTAGCACTATATCACAATCCTACTCCTGGGATTTACCTTGGAAATATTAGTTGTCACCTGTTGGTGCGCTGAAACCCAGCGGAGTACAAGAGCATAGCATAAGGAACGATAAGTCCTTACTCTGATACTTAAAGTACTGCATTTTATTAACTTTTTTCCACGATCCCACCAGACCACACAACGGGACTTGTAACGCAGTGCTTTTTAACTCGTGTAAAGTGGCTGTTCATTGTGCAATATATCTTATGTGCACACCACAGATCGTTAAGTCGCGCTCGTCTCATTGTGTAGTTAAACTGTACATAAGCGGAAACCACGTGTGCAAATGTGCGTCATTCGTTGTGTTTGAGTACAGTCATCCATCTCGGACCTCCATCAAGTGTGACCTGTCCCTGTTTGCTTCAGGCAGCATGCATTGTTCCACTGAGAAATCCGACGACGTACAGGGTGAGTGCAGTCCCGTTGAAAAGTCAGGACATTAAGCTACCGAACTTATACCTAGAATACAACCACGTGAATTCTAAATTGTAAGCCTATCTTGCCATACATGGTTTTTTCCCCACACATTTATGCAGACAAATATGCGGTTCACCAAACTATTTGGCTCCAGAAGTCTACCTAAAGGAAGGCCATTCAACAAGATCGGATTGTTGGGCAGCTGGGGCCACTCTGTACTTTATGTTATGTGGCATACCGCCGTTCCAGTCAGCAGAGGCAGGTGACAACGATTCTCCTCCAGTGAGGCTGAACAGTCCATTCGGATGCGAGACACAGCTGCGTTCTGTGCCATCGGCGCTATCAAGCATCCAAGTACGCTCAATTTGTCGTGCTCTTCTGTGGGGGCGCTACTCCTTCCCTCGGGGATTACAGTGGCCCGCAAGACAGACAGTTGAGTCGTTACTTCAACGGCAACCACACTTACGAGCAACAGCTGCTGAAGTTATGAGAATGGAGTTCTGTACTCACCATCGGTGAGTTGTATTCCTTGTAGTTTCAATAAACACTTATGAATGATATCGGGATAGAATACGAGTTCCAATTACTGGAAACTGAGAACTCAGTCGAAACTCGTGTGTCTCATTAATGAAACTAAGGTTCAGAGCCGGCAGTGGCGCTTTGAACAGTTACCAATTCAGGACGCTTGCTTCCGACTTAGCTTCGCAGTTGATTAGCACACTCATAGCATTAGATTTTGCCATTGCTGCTATCCAGCCCCATCTTGTGACCTACAACATGTTATTAACTGCTTTGTGGCCAATAACAATAAGCTTGGGAATGCAGATCAGTAACCATCGTCTGTCCGCCGTTGCAAAACAAAAGAAGGAGCAGCCGGAAAACAACCACGCCGTTAAAGTTTACCGGTAAGCAATGTAGGTGCAGAAAGAGTGTCCAACCTATGATGAATAACGTTCATGCATCTTTCTATCCATCAAACCGAGTAATGAAAATCAATATATACATAAAACCGCCCGTGTCACCTTGGCACATGTCTGATGCTTAACCTGGTTGATGATCTTATTTCCAGGGCCAAGTGCTCATCCTCGGAATCAGCATATGAACCAACGGAAGTTAAATTACAAGGCTGTCAACATGACCTGTTCGCTGTGAATACTCTGAACGGTGTGCAAGTGACAAAGCTTCCGAATTGGCTACCGAAAGCGTCCGATGAATTTACTGCCACCAGTGCTGCCGTCCATTTCAAGTCCATCAATCCGCATCTAGAGCACGAATTTTCAGAAAGCATCAATCCCACAAAAGGCGTGGCGTACACGGGAAAGGAGGCGGTTTACGTAAGCAGGAAATTCCTTGTGGTTCATTTCTCTTTGAGCCAATTATAGACTATTTATGATATGGATAGTGACTTCGAGGAGAACATAAGAGCCACGGCATCGGTGGTTATTTTGATCGACACAGGAAGCGAGGTTTCGTAAACACCGACTATGCGGTCGATTCACTACACAAACGTGCCCTTTTGCAATTTTCATAGTGAAGCTCCGCCGCTCGTCCACTCCCAAACACCGAGACACACGCGGACATGTTGATAGTTTTCCTCTCTAGCGAAATGCAACGAAGCGTTACAGAGTAAATTCGAACAAAACGAGGGGCGAAAAGTGATGCGACCGTCAGGTGAGGATTGCAGCCAATAGTCACGTAGACGTGACCAGGATCGCAATATACCTAACTCACAAGTAGTAAGACACATTTAAACGAAATATCTGGAGCAACATGATATCTTTTATATGTTTCAAACATGGCGCGGACAGTTTATGCGCATACACACTGCCAACTCCACAATGGTGGCATCATCAGCCCATCCCAACAACGTGTTCTGCAGCCGGTTTTGTACTTTCTATAAATCCTTAAAGCAGATAAAGCAGTGTTGAAATTTGACATCGTGACTACATAATCACCGGCTACCAGGTTCTCTTGTTGAAGACAGCCCCAAAGCTTAATAACACTTAGGGAAGTTGGGTGCTGCCTGCCTGCAGTTCATGGAGTGCAATATTTTCAGGAAGTTAACGCACAATTTTCGTACGTTTGAGATACGGTCCTAGCGATCGAATTGACCAAGATTCGCTTCAATGCGAATTAGTCCAAATTGAGATTGCGCGTTGCAACCTAATCACAAAATGAGTACTTCGGAATGACCCACCAATCAATTAATGACACTGAAGATTTGGAACGAAGCACTAATCATGATGTACTTTACGAATTTCTAACCGTCACCACAATCGTTGTTCGTGAAATCCAATAGCGCGGTGGCTGCACTAAGCCTTCCTTATCGCTTTTCGGAGTGTTCAAACAAGAACGAAGCCCGTAAGGATGGGCAATTTTGAAAGGGAATCGCGAGACTGTTTTTCGGATGGAATTGTACAAATGAGTCCGCAGATTGGGCAAAGGGTCCAACTCGACACTGAGAGTATTGTAAGCCGCAGCAGTCACCGAAAGAAAGTGGAATAGGTAGGCGCAAAACGAACATGAAAAAGTCTGCACAAAGTTCAGCATCGTTAGGTAGAGTCGAGTAGATACTAAACGCCGAATAGGCAGCGGATGCCCGCTTAGCCAATATGGTCCAGAGCGTGGGGCGCCAAGAATTACGAACTTGTTATTGCAAAAAAAATGTGTGGCCGACAGGAATAAGGTACAGTGAAACAGACGTAGCTCTGACATCTGTTTCAAAGTACATCGATTTGCCAATAGAGATTGTGTGTTACCATCCAACCACAATGCGTGTACTCCAAACATGACTACGAAACTTAGCTCTTATTAAGATCGACTACTGATGATTACTGCAGCCCGTGGGTTACAAACTTTCCCTGCACTGTGATGCTGACTAGATCAATTACTTCGACACGTGAGGGCGCATTGCATGTGTCATTAAAACACGGAATGATCAATGTGCGCTTTTCTTTTTGTATGGTGGATGTATCCCACAGAAGGGATGTGTTGGGTTTCGTTTGCCCCGTTTCCAATCCGTTACTGTCGTAGAGGTACGCGGCGAAGCGCAGCGGTGCTTCCAGTAAATATCCTAGGGTTGTTTATACTCAGCATTTCATTGGTCGTACTGGCGAACGACTATGACTACGGGAAGTCTAGGTGTATCATGAAGATATCATGCAGCGAGGGTTATTTAGGTCTGCCATTTTGTACAGGACCATGCAATGGTTAAAACAGCATCAACAGTGCAGCCCATCGCTCAACCTCAGAAGCAAGCAGTGGTTTAGCATTTGCTACACTTGTTTCCAGATAGCAGAGCGCGCGAGATCACTGTGGGATATACGTATAGGTAGGGACAAAAATCTAAATCCGCAGAGTGCCTAGCACTGAAGAAACGCAACACAAGAGTGAAATTCAGTCTAAGGCCCGAACAGTAGTACAAGATTATGTGACAAACTGTCGGATCAATGACTCCGGATCCATAATTACACCTGAATTACTCCCGATAGTGTTTCGTTAGCTGAGCTACCGGGATGCAGCTGCGGTTATGAAAACAGACGCGGCATATACGACTTGAAACAAAACTGCTTTTCGGTGTGTTAACGCGGTTTCAATGTGTCAGAATCTAACCAAACAATAGTACATTATGAGTGCCAAACCCTGTGGAGTTGTTAAATTTACAGTTGTGCGATTCATGAATCGCAGCCTTGAAGGAGTTAAGTGCCTTTGGGCATCAATTTGTCTTCACTGATCTCTCAAAGTTGGCTATCACATGCTGATTCCAGAACGGAGCGGAAACGTAACGCTCATTCCTTCGGAATGGATTTTTCCAGTGGCGGTCTATGGCAAATTAGATTGTTTAGGCAGCTACAGGATCTGTTGTGGCTTCGCCGCGTAATCTTAAAGTATCACGGTGCATTTTGTGATGAACCAAATAGGGCGTCTATATGTACCTAGTTGACTCAGCGGAATGAGTTTCTTGTCATGCGGACAGACAGCTTTTGTGCGGACGTGTAGCTCATGACCATCAAAGCAACAAAGTCGATCACTGGAACCATGCGCCACAAAATGTGCAAAACACGGTCGACTAGGACCTAGCGCTTTTGACAAAGATTTAGCACGTTTTTAAAATAATCGGGAAACCTTGGTGAGACCAGCTTTGTTCAAATCTCTGTTATACCTGTTAACTGAACGACAGTACGATTGGTGGGCGTCTGATTGAGAGCGAAATCCTGGTCGGTCAGTAAGCAGCTATGAACAACATTCTTTATCGAGTGGGTGTAGGTAGAAGTAAACTGTTCGATGAGCCACTGAGGTTTGCAAATGAAGGCTATTTGTTCCGAGTGCTTGAAATCGAAACAAATGCAGACTAGTTTTCAGACAGGTCCCGAGACCGATCAACTTATTTCTATTGTTTTCAACCCTTATACATGAACTCATTGCACAGTAAAGCGCACGTAACGCTGATAGAGAACAGTTATTAAACGGTATAAGCACGATGACCCATACGAAATCATGTCTCGACACGCATAAGTACAATGGACACTACCACTTATGCCGAAATGTTCATAAAAATGCGATATTTTTGGTATGCTTACTGCATGTCACCCGGATACCGATCATGTTTCCTCGTTTTCTTACCCAGGACATATTCAAGCTGCTCTCGAATCGTGTGAAGCGACCATCAAAACAGTTGGAATCCACACAAATTTGCATATTGCACTGGGTCTCTCGATGGGCGCTGACGAAGCATCCATTCCTCTACTATACTCTGGACAAAGTCAAGCTAATGAGATCTGGAGGAAAAGCTGTAGTTCCCTACAAGGATTTGTGTGTTGGTCAACCGATGGGGAAAGGAGACGAATGTTGGGGAGTTACCAATCGCAGTGGCCAAGGCTTGATACAAACCAAGGGGAAAAGGTGAGTCTACATGTGTTCCGTACACCTGACCAACACCAGGGCTTTGTAGGGTTTCTATTCAATTTTATAATATCCATTCAGACCGAATGTTGGGGATACCGTAAGTACAATGGGTGATCCGAAGATAAATAGTTTAACTTCCTGGAGTGGTGAGATATGGATTTGGATCGACTTCGAAGGAGATTCGCTTGAAAAACTCAATCGGATGATCATAATACTTTCGGAAAAGTGGCGGACGCTCGTTCTTTCACAAACATACTCTAAGACTGATCGAACTCCCCATCACCATACTCCCTGGTAATTAGTAAGTGCACAATCTATCCTAAGGCGGTAATAGAAGCGTTGTGATTTAGAAAGGGAACACGTGTCTCGTGGTCCAAAAGTGTCCTCTGACGTTGGAAGCATGTATACTGGTGGGGCATGTATCACGCAGCATCACAGCGAATGAACTGGTCACGGTAAATACTATCATCCTTAGTGGCACAGCGTCTTATTAACTGTCTTGGAAGAGTTGTGGGTTCTAATTTCTCCCAGGGAACGCACATACATTCTGTGGTAAAACGTCACAAAAAGAGACAGATGGCTGCTTATTTGCGTACGAGCGCATGCACGGAAGACACATTGTTGCAAAAACCGGTGGGGAGTAAAGGTGCACAAGCTCAAGACGCTCAAAACTGAAAAGTGGCAATACAACATGGAAGCCCATCCGAAGAAAAATAATTGGGTCTCTGACAGATTCGTCAAATAAAGACGGATCCAAACACCGTCTCCTATGAAAGTGCTCCTTGTTTTGCACTTATCCCTCGCCACGAGTGTACTGAAAAAACCATAGAAGATGGGCGAGCTCTTCAGTGCTTAGTGAGATATTCACGGTGAAATCCGTTTGAAAAGAAAATCTTCGAAAAGTTTGGTGATAGAAAAGTAAGGTGTCGAGCATATCACCAGTTCTATCTTATCCAATGAAACAGCACAACGCAATAAATTAGGTGGTGAAACATATCCATGAATCAGGATGCTATTTATGTTTCGGTGTTGAGGTCTGGGTGATGAGTCTAAAAGCAAAAGGAAGGCAATGACAATTGAGCAACACTGGTGAAATTTGATTTCGCTGAATATCTTCTCCAGGTCGATTGGTGAATGACGGCTGATGGCCAAGGACAAAGGCTATGGCAAAAATCCTAGAGAAAGAGGGAGGTTCGGAACAAGAATGAAGTTGTATGGAACCAGTATCGAATTTGGTATGGAGAATAGTTGGACTGTGCATCGCATCGCCGAGGAATATACCATTTATTCACTAATCGATGTAGTTTATTCGGGATCGATTTAGGCTAAACCACCTGCGAGCAGTCGAAAGGGAGTAAATTCATACTACCGAAGATCGGTCAAAACTGGTAGTTTATTTTACACGGCTGAGGACGCCACAAAATGGGATTGGTGTTAAGTTACAAACAGTAGGTCAACTTATTTATTATCACCCGTTGCAATCGAAAGCAAAACACAGAGATGGTTTGTAACGTATTAGCGATGTCTCTTAGAGTCCCAGGTGAACCAGGAGTTAGCTGCGTGGAGGATATTTCGGGAGAGGGGGAGAAGAACGAATAATCCAAGATTCAGTGGACAGCACACAGATCCATTAAATTAAGCCGAGGTTCAGGAAACCCAACTTCAAACATACCAACATGGAGTGCCAGGTTTACTAGCTGTCGATCAAATGAACCAGATTCATTTGTGCTTCCGAGTTCCCTACTGGTCAAATTCAGACTCCAGTTACCATTTAATACATCGTACCGAAGCGACCATATGAGTCATGCATTAAATAGAACGCCCGTCCTACCGTCAGCTTCACACCCATATTCCGGTGACACAACGAAGCGTAAATTACCGCATCTCAACTGTATAAACCACATAGTAAAGAAGTCAACTTAAAGGAGGAATATGCCGTGCAGCCTAGACCAAACGTTAACCATGATGGCTTCGACTGTCGCCTCGTAGAGGAAGAGTGTAGCAGAATTTAAGGGTAATGGGAAAAGTAAGTGAATCCCCATTAAACGAGATGGAAATTTAGCGCATTTTTGGGTGACAAATCAACTGAGGCTGGTTGGGAGCAGTCTGCTTAAGCCACTACAAAATGCCTATAAACAACAGTCAAGGCCTGGGACTTTCGATGGCAAATAATGGAAGTTCATTGTACACGTGCTTATATATATATATATATATATATATATATATATATATATGTATAAATATCCGGGTGGACAGGTGCAAATCCCGACGAGTATGTGCTACCGCATATACCGGGCTAACTGACCCAATGAAGTTGAGTCATTCGTCGAAAAGACGGCGAAAAAGTACAATTCAGGGAAGGACAGTATTTATAGCTATCACTAAGCACTTGTTCCGCTAAAAGCTAGAGATTGGTAGTTAAGCTCGTTTCGTTGACAAAGCCACCACGGAAACTGTGGCATCGTTGAGGTTAGTTCATAACTACTGCATGATCACGACAAACTCCCTTGTGTTAACGCTGCCAAACTTCGTGCTTCTTACCATTACCCGCACAGATTGCACCAAGTGGGAACGGACTCGTTTTTGTTTCCGGACCCAATTCCTACTCTGTTTGACGTGCGAACGCACTGTGAGTTTTTGGTCCGGCGGTTGAATCCATTCGATCCAGTCACAAGCAGAGAGACACAGCAACCGGATGGGCATCAAGCAGACGACGACAAGTATGTACACGATAATCAGCCACCTGTGTTCGTGCAACGGTGGAAGGACCATGGAAACAATTTGCTATTTTTCTTCTCAACCGGCGGATGGCAAGTGAACTTCTACAACCATTCCAAGCTGATTGTACACTATCCGTACATCCTAGTGCACAGAGACTCAATCGGTGATGAAGCGACGACGATTTCAAGATACCACTTGAGTA